TAGAATTCCAACCATGGGAATTGTGAGCACCGTCGTTGTAAACCAGGCCTTCGTGTATTTCGCGCCAATGCCGACCTTCGCGCACTATTCGCTGTAGAGGCTGTATATTGGATTCGCATTAGAAAAGTGAACGACAAAATGCAATCTTAAACATGTTCTTCGCGCCGCCGTCGGATTTGGAGCAACCGCCACCGCCAGCCGCTGAATTTCGGCACGCCCTTCTCGAGGATCGTGGGCCTGGCCCTCCGACGCGCGATTTCGGCGCACGGCCTTGGTCCATTTGGGAGCGCTGCCGAAGGCCCACCAACGTCAAATTTCGGCACGCCGCTCATGAGGATCGCGTCCTGGCCCAATTGGCAGCGCTGCCGACGGCCCACCGATGGGCAATTTTGGCACACCCCTCGCACGGGGCGCAAACCCCGCCACGTTGGGATCGCCGCCCGACGCTCAATTCCGGCACGCCTCTCACGTGGATCGTGGCCCTGGCCCAATGGGGAACGCTCCCAACGGCCCACCGACGCCCAATGCCGGAACGCCCCTCGCGAGGATCGTGGCCCTCTGGTCCAATTAAAGGCTCTGCCGAGGGCCCACCGACACGCAATTTCGCACGCCCCTCGCAAGGATCGCGGCCCTGGCCTCACTTGAAGCGCCCCCGAGGGCCCGCCGACACGCAATTTCTGCACACCCCTCAGGTTAGTCGTGGCCTCGGCCCCAGCGGGAGCGTCGCCGAGGGCCCGCCGACGTCCAATTTCGACACTTCCCCCAAACGAAGACCGCAACCTTGGGGCCACCGCCCGACGCCCAGTTTCGGCGCACCCCTCGCGAGGATGGAGGTTGAGGAGGAGAAAAGGAGGAGGATGAGGCGGAGGAGGAGTAAATGGAGGAGGAGGAAGAGGAGGAGCAGGAGGAGGGGGAGGACCGCGAGCAGGAAGAGCAGGAGGAGTAGTAGGAGGAGGAGGAGGAGGAGGAGGAGGAGGAGGAGGAGGAGGAGGAGGAGCAGGAACAGGGGGAAGGGGGGGGAGGGGGAGGAGGAGGAGCAGGAGGAGCAGGGGGGAGGGGGGAGGAGGAGGAGGAGGAGGAGGAAGAGGAGGAGGAGCAGGAGCAGAAGCAGGAGCATCAGGAGAGCAGCGGAGAGCAGCGGCAGGACGTCGCGTCGGCCAGGCCAACTAGACGCAGCACAGGCGGCCAGGGGGCCGCAGCCTCAGGGGAGGCCAGTGATGCCGATCACGTCGACGGACGCGAAGGGCGGCGCGCTGGGGCCAGACCGCCGCGCAGCGCCGTGCGGCGAGCCGCTGGGGCCAGAACGCCACGCAGCGGCTGCCCGTGCCAGGAGAGGCCGACCCTCAGCCACTTCTCCGTCGCCTCCTGCGTCCCGCATTCCACGGCACCGAAGGCGCTCTGAGCGGGCCAATGGGCGGTGGCTGCCCTTCCCGCCGCAGCTCGGCCAGCCACGTCCGCAGGCACACGTAGTCGTAGCGCCGCATGCAGTCCGACACGATCCTCTGCGACCGCGTCAGCGTGTGGCGCCACCTGTAGTAGGCCCGCCTAGCGGGCATGCCAGTCCCCCAGGCCCGCTCGCAGATCTCCTCGGCCATCTCCTCAGCCGTCCTCCCACGCGCCCGCAGCCTGGTGGCGAAGCGCGGCTGGGACAGGATCTGCGTGACGTAGCCGACGCAGCGGTCGAGCCACTCGCTGTGGCACTCCATCGTCTCGCCGACCTCGGGAGCCTGGGTCCAGTACCGCGCCCATCCAGCGACCTGCAGCTCCAGCCTGGGCGCGACGCTGTGCCTCGGCTGCGCTGGCTCAGGCCGAGCCACCGCAACTCTGCCAGCACTCAGGGCGGGGCCGCACACACGGTCGGCACTTGCAGGTCCCCTGCCACCCCTGGTACTGGCCATACACATGCCGTCGCGGTCCGCGTCGCTTCCTGGGCTCAGGGCGGGGCCGCACTCACGCACGCACATTGCAGGTCCCCTGCCACCCCTGGCCCAGGCCGTAATCCGTCGCCGCTCGGGGTGGGTGCTGGTGCTCAGGGCGGGGCCGCACTCA